GCAAGATCTCAAGAAAGAAATGTGGTTCCCAAAACAAGTAGTACATGTATTGTCATCTTTGTATATTGCCCTCTTTAGTAGAAACATTGACTTTTCTTTATGAGGTGAGAACTTCTTAATGATTTGACAATGGCCCAATGTTGTGAAAAAAAATTCTGCTCCACAGAGTGTATATAAACATATTTCTCTTACATTTCCTTTTTACATACTATGATCATAGAAATAAAACTTAATTTTGAGTGATGAACTGATGATGGACATAAATTATTAAATTCTACAATTCAACTGCTTAGGAAGGGATTCTGAATGCATAACCAGTACTAATTTACTTTTCTGTGAGTAATGGTATTTTAACCTACATAGATTAAAAGAATTCATTTATTGAAATTAATATATACACTGAGTTATTATCTTCAACCATAGTGTCATCCTTAGTGCTTGCCACCATATTTTAAAATTCATAGATCCAAGATCTTTAGATGTAACTCATTATGGATGAACTAATTCAGGTTTTATCCTTTAAACATGTTAAATGGAATATTCTTGCTTTGACATTGGAACTACCAATTGTTATTTCAATGAGTATTTATAGGACTCAGGACTCTGTAAAGTGTGGTTAGGTTGCACAAAATGATGTGCTTGTTTGGGCTGAATTATCCTGTACTGGTGTCATATAAAGTAAAATGGTTGTGACCCAAGTAGGGCTTGAACCCATGATCCCTGGATTGAGAGGCAGACACCTTAACCACCAGTCCACCCCTCCCCTGAATTGAAACCCTTGACCCTTTTCCCTACCCCAGGGATATATACCCGGGATAGTTGAGAGTTTAGCCAAGTTTTTACATTCTTTCCATCCCGATTACTGCTGATTAGATGCTGTGGTTTTATCCAAGTGAAAGTATATCCAATTTACAGTGCAGGATTTGAACAAGTGACTGACCCAAAGGGCCGAGCCTTTACTTAGACTTCGATAAGTTCAGAAGTCAATGCCCTCACTGTTCCGGGACGTTTATTACAATTTACTGTTGAACTATTTCCACTAACACCTACAGTTAATCAAGTATATTTAGATTTCATTTATATAAACCAACACTTTTTGTCATTGAAAACTTTAAGAAATTTAAATTGTGGCTACTTAAAACCTAAAAATAATTTTCTCTTTTTGGCAGATATTCATTGTAAACATTTTAAATTAGAAAAAAAGGCAAAAAACAAATTTACAGAAATCAGGTTGGTTTTTTCTTTTGGTTAATGTGAAATAGAAATATTTGGTGTGTTCAAACATTAATAACGCCACCGGTTTTCCATTCAGGTGCATTATACATTTGACTGACTCTGTTTTTCATTTCTTTATGTCTCCTAAAGCATTTTATGGGTAAACTGAAAAGGTTAAAAACAACTCAAAAATGATAATTACTATGATTAGTTAGCTGAATGTTATCAGTTGAGTTGCTTTGACTGTCTGCCCATTGTGCTGTCGACCTGGGCTGGCGAGATTTATGCGGTCAGAACATTACTGTTTCTCCCTGTGCCTTAATATTGCAATACTAGAAATATGTGCCCTCCCTTTCTTGTATATGCAGGGGGTGACCTAGTGCTTTAAATTTGTTGTGTTGAGATCTTTTCACTCAACCATGTACTTTTTGGACCAATGCGGCAACTGTTGGACAATTTGGAACTGTTCATTATTAATGTTTTTGTTTTCAACAATTTTAAGATTGAAACCTAAAAATTTAGTAAATGAACTGTATAGAATCTGGTCTGTCTCATGTTGGACTGCTGATAAGGTAGTGATGTTGTTGGTAGTTTTCACTCCAGATCACAGCAATAAGCCACATTGAATTTAATAGAGCACAGTTCAGCCACTGCATCGTTCCTTGGTAGACTGTCTAGCAGTTTACCAGTACAAAGTGCCTTCATTTTCACTAGGAACTGATAACTTCTGTACCTGCCAGGGCAGAGGTTGTAAATGACCGTAGAAAGGAATTCATGATCAATCACAACAAAAGTGATCTGCACTATCTGGAAATTGAACACAGGTTGCTGATTCACAGTCCAATTCTCTACCTATTGAGCTAACCAGCCGGCTTTGCTCATCCAGAAGTATTATTTACAAGGGCCCTCGATGATTGACCTTCAAAGCCAGAGGCTAAAGGATTCATTTAAGACATTTAGCATGGTAATGGTTAAAGTCCTTACAGAATTCTCAAAATTCTAAGCAAAACTCAGTCCATTATATGTATTCAGCAGTGTTAGGATTAAATATTTCATCTTTGTATTCATTATGATAGGCTCTTCAACTAGTGTAAAAAGGTTTCTTCAAATATATGCCAGACAAATTTTGCCTGGACTATTCAAGTTTGTTCAAATGTTTCTACTTAACTGTTATTACAAAAAAAGGCATTATTGTTATAAAGCGATCAATCTGTAAATGACTTCTTGTCAAAGCTGGCATGATGGATGCTCCTTAGACTTGGTGAAATGCCAGGTCAGAAGGTCAGGGTCATCAGTATTGCTATGTCTGTGCATAGAGTTGATAAAGTTTGTTTGATCTAAAGAATATGGTCAAACTAATATATTTGTCTGTAAAGTACCTGAACTGAGCTCTGGTGAATTTAATGTGGCTTACTGCCATGATTCGGAGGGTAAAGTACCTGAACTGTGCTCTGGTGAATTCAATGTGGCTTACTGCCATGATTCGGAGGGTAAAGTACCTGAACTGTGCTCTGGTGAATTCAGTGCGGCTTACTGCTATGATTCGGAGGGTAAAGTACCTGAACTGTGCTCTGGTGGATTCAATGTGGCTTACTGCCATGATTCGGAGGGTAAAGTACCTGAACTGAGCTCTGGTGAATTCAATGCCGCTTACTGCCGTGATTCGTAGGGTTAAGTACCTGAACTGTGCTCTGGTGAATTTAATGCGGCTTACTGCCGTGATTCGGAGGGTAAAGTACCTGAACTGTGCTCTGGTGGATTCAATGTGGCTTACTGCCATGATTCGGAGGGTAAAGTACCTGAACTGAGCTCTGGTGAATTCAATGTGGCTTACTGCCATGATTCGGAGGGTAAAGTACCTGAACTGTGCTCTGGTGAATTCAGTGCGGCTTACTGCCATGATTCGGAGGGTAAAGTACCTGAACTGTGCTCTGGTGGATTCAATGTGGCTTACTGCCATGATTCGGAGGGTAAAGTACCTGAACTGAGCTCTGGTGAATTCAATGCGGCTTACTGCCGTGATTCGTAGGTTAAGTACCTGAACTGTGCTCTGGTGAATTTAATGCGGCTTACTGCCGTGATTCGGAGGGTAAAGTACCTGAACTGTGCTCTGGTGGATTCAATGTGGCTTACTGCCATGATTCGGAGGGTTAAGTACCTGAACTGAGCTCTGGTGAATTCAATGTGGCTTACTGCCATGATTCGGAGGGTAAAGTACCTGAACTGTGCTCTGGTGGATTCAATGTGGCTTACTGCCATGATTCGGAGGGTAAAGTACCTGAACTGAGCTCTGGTGAATTCAATGTTGCTTACTGCCGTGATTCGGAGGGTAAAGTACCTGAACTGTGCTCTTGTGAATTCAATGTGGCTTACTGCCATGATTCGGAGGGTAAAGTACCTGAACTGTGCTCTGGTGAATTCAATGCGGCTTACTGCCGTGATTCGTAGGGTTAAGTACCTGAACTGTGCTCTGGTGAATTCAATGTGGCTTACTGACGTGATTCGGAGGGTAAAGTACCTGAACTGTGTTCTGGTGAATTCAATGTGGCTTACTGCCGTGATTCGGAGGGTAAAGTACCTGAACTGTGCTCTGGTGAATTCAATGTGGCTTACTGCCGTGATTCGGAGGGTAAACTACCAATACCAAACACCACTTTTAAAGCATTAACCTACGCATTCTGCTTTAATAATACTTGCCAATAAACTTCATACAAAACACTTTTAACAAGATCACATCATTTTCTTTGACTTTGCTGCCCCACAAAAGAATTTTCATGACTTATTCATTATGTCGCCCAGGAAAAGGGAAGTGCATAGAGACTGGTGTATTATGATGGTTTCATAAAAAATACCCCTGTACTCCTGTGACAATGGATTTTTCTCCTTTATTTCAAACATTAATAGATAGGATTATGTAACCAGAATCATCTCAAATTGTTTTTCTCATTATAATCCTGTGCAGTGACACCTGTTATGAGTGAAACCGGAGAAATAATTCGGTTTTAATGAGTATCGAATTTCCTGAAAAAATGTCATTTCACTTCAAATGTATGTGAATTTTTCGAATTCAAAACACTGAACTAAGTCTTAAGGTATATGTTTTTGAAGTTTTGAGATGCAATTCGTATACAATAATTTACCCAAAGTTAACTGGCTGCATCAGATTCTAGCCATATGCCTGTGCAGACAACATCTGTGCCATCTGATCATGGTCTGCATTGATTGCTATATAAATATTACATATTTTGAATTTTATTTTATAAAAAGGATGAACTGTTTTATCCATATTGATAGATGGACAAGTCTATATAATAAATTTAGAGGAATAAGGGTTTTTTAAAGGGCATAAATTAAAAAAATCCTTATTTTTAACTCTTAAATTGTTTGTGTAACAGATGAGCATTAACACTGCATGTGGCGCTCTTGTTGTATTATGATTTTTTCACAAAAAATCACAAACAGAGTTTAGGGTGTATATTGAAAGCATAATGGAATAAATAGCCTGTTTGTTTGTGTTTTGGTCAGTTTTAATGTTTCCAGATGATAACTAGAATTGTATAAATTAAACTAACTTGGTATATAGCAAGTTTAATATGTGGAGACCTCATTTAGGATTGGTTATTGGTCCTCTAGGGTCACTGTTACTAAAAAAATGGTTTTCAGATGATTGTGAAAAAATGAATTGCATGATCATATTTTGTTCTTTTGATAAGTTCACATATTTATTAATATTGGACAATACTTACATGATGAATATTTTTATAATGTTTTTATTTCTATTTCAGGTGATAAAAACCACTCATAACTTTCACAGGATGTAGGCACATAAAAAACAAGGAGTGGTAAGCTTTATTAATTTAAAATTTACTTCGCTTAACACAAACATCAACAGTAGAGGGGTTGTGAACCTTCAAAAAGATTTGCCTTTATTTGCTGTTCTATTAGTAGGCCAATAATTGGTTGGTTTTACTTGTTTACTAACCCTGCTGGTGACAATTCTAAACTGGCTGGTCAGTGGTTCTACTCATATGCCCAATCCTACCAGAAATAATACACATTTAACGGGCACCTGAGGTCTTCCTCCTCCAGTAAAGCTGGAAATTTAATATGACCTTGACATTGATACAACCAATACAGGTCAATATCAGCCGGCACATTTGTATCATCATGGTCTGCACTGTTCGCTGTTCAGTCAGTACAATTTGTTTGTTGAGCTTGTTAGCAGAGACTTTGGCATAGTTGTCACAATATCGGTTTGGTATATGTACATGCGTCTGTTAGTGCATGCGTCAGGACAATGCTTGTTCAGGGCATCCCTCTGTGATTAGTAGGCAGATTTTCAAATAACTTAGCTCAAATGTTTACAATAATGAGACAGCAAAAACCATCCTAGATCAAAGGTCAAGGTCATAATTTAAGGTCAAATGCAAAAAAAATGGTCTCAAACAGCTTGTCCGCATCATAACTCTATCACTAGTAGTTGGAATTTCAATTTACCTGGCACAAATGTTCAACATCATGAGATGGCATGTCAGACACAAGAACTGAGTGGCTAGGTCAAAGGTCAAGGTCATACTACCGTCCAGATAATACTTGTTAGGGTCATAACTCTGTCATTAGTAGGCAGAATTTCAATTAACTTAACACAAATTTTCACAATAATGAAACTGCGTGTTATGCACAAGAACCGTGTGGCTAGGTCAAAGGTCAAGGTCATACTTTAAGGTCAAATGCAAAAAAAAATGGTCTCAAACAGATTGTCCACACCATAACTATTACTAGCTGGTGGTATGTCAAATAACCTAGCACATATGTTCAACATCATGAGATGGCATGTAGTGTGCAAGAACCATGTGGCTAGGTCAAAGGTGAAGTTCATACTTTGAGGTCAAATGCAAAAAAATGATCTCAAACAGCTTGTCCACACCATAACTCTCACTAGTTGGTTGTATGTCAAATAACCTGGCACATATGTTCAACATCATGAGATGGCATGTAGTGGGCAAGAACCATGTGGCTAGGTCAAAGGTCAAGGTATTACTTTAAGATCAAATGGAAAATTATGGTCTCAAACAGCTTGTCTGCACCATAACTTTATCACAAGCTGGTGGAATTGCACAAATGGTCGACATCATGAGACAGCATATGGTGTGCAAGAACTGTTTGACTATGTCAAAGCTCAAGGTCATTCCTCAAGGTCAAATATGACACGGGTTCCACATGTTGCCCTTGGGCATCTGGTTGAAATTTTCCATAATAGTGATAAATGGTTATGTCTAGAATGAAAATGGACAAAACAAACAAAATTAAATCCAGCTCGAAGGTGGTTGGTTATACTCGGGTGTGGGCTTGTGCTTGAAATTGTACATAAGGTATATCAAGTCTTCCTCTGCCAGTTTAGCTACTTATCTACTTAAATCATCAAGTTTGGGAACATCCATCCTTGTTTTTCTAGGAATTCTTTTCATTGTTGAATTTTCATAGAAGTTTGAAAGGAACGAAAAAGATTGCCATATCTTTAATCATCTGATCTATATTTTAACTATATCTATGGTTGCAGATATTTCTGGAAATTTGTTTCTTCGTAAAAAGGAAAAATGCTCTTTTTTTATGTAATTTCTATGAATGATTATTGACAGGAATGGTTGGGTAATGCTGGGCCTGATTAAGGTTTGCGTTTTAAGGGATAATTTATCTGGCATTTGATTAGTGAACACAGTTAGTTACTGATGAAATAATTCTTTAGTTAGAAACATAATAAATGGTGCACATTGTTTTATTATCAATGTATGGATGTTTCAGAAGATTATGGTGCTTTATGTTGCTCTTCAAACAGTTTATTTACGGTGTTAGAATGCTTACCATACACTCTATAATAAATGTCCCCTGGGGTGTTACGTCATTTTCAAAAAAGGGGGGTTGTTAGTAAGTAGTTCAGAAAATGACGAATATTGTCAAAATAGGAATGTTTACTCTGTTATTTTCCACTTTATTATATATACTGCAAGCACCAGCTGTATGAAAATTTGTGCTTATTTCCCAAGAGTTACACTAAACTTATTTCCCAAGAGTTATGCTAAACTTATTTCCCAAGAGTTACGCTAAACTTATTTCCTTAGAGTTATGCTAAACTTATTTCCTTAGAGTTATGCTAAACTTATTTCCCAAGAGTTACACAAAACTTATTTCCCAAGAGTTATGCTAAACGTATTTCCCAAGAGTTACACTAATATTAATTCCTTAGAGTTATGCTAAACTTATTTCCTTAGAGTTATGCTAAACTTAATTCCCAAGAGTTACACTAAACTTATTTCCTTAGAGTTATGCTTAACTTATTTCCCAATAGTTACACTAAACTTATAACCTTAGAGTTATGCTAAACTTATTTCCCAAGGGTTACACTAAACTTATTTCCTTAGAGTTATGCTAAACTTATTTCCCAAGAGTTACACTAAACTTATTTCCTTAGAGTTATGCTAAACTTATTTCCCAAGAGTTACACTAAACTTATTATCTAAGAGTTATACTGAACTTATTTCCTTAGAGTTATACTAAACATATTTCCTTAGAGTTATACTAAACTTATTTCCTTAGAGTTACACTAAACTCATGTCCTTAGAGTTATACTAACATATTTCCTTAGAGTTATACTAAACTTATTTCCTTTGAGTTGTGCTAAACTTATTTCCATAGAGTTATGCTAAATCTATTTTCTTTGAGTTATACTAAACTTATTTCCTTAGAGTTATACTTAACTACTTTTGTACTGGTTAATCATTGTCAAAAAAAGGGGAAAGGGAGGGGGGCTTTTATTAGAGAATATAATGTATGCGATAGTATGTGTCAGGCCAGCCTGCTCATCAGTGCACTGTCAGCTGGTTAATTTAAGCTTTTGATATTTAAACCACTTACATGAACAGTTGGTAACTCTAAGATCAAACGTCTGAATTAACAATGAACCATTTGAAGTTTAAATGACTTAAATTTAAAGTAGACAGTTCAAACTTGTAACCATTTAACAATGGACTGTGAGTTTTAACTTTGAACCACTCAGTGGACACCCCCAAGTTCTAACCATTTAGATTAAAGAGTACAGTTTATGAATTCAAACCACTTAAATTAACAGTTTCAAGTTCAAACCAGTTTAACTAAAAGTGGACACTTACAAGTTCAAAACAATATCACACCAATTAAATTAACAGTCAGGAATTCCAAATTCAAACCACTTAAATTACTGGTGGACTATTCCAAATTCATTAAAAGTTGACAGTTTCAAGCCATTAACACATAACAGTGGACAGAACCACTTAAATAAACAGTGAACAGTTCCAAGTTCAAACCAATTTAACTAAAAAAAAGCTCAACAACTTAAATAAACAAGGGACAGTGCCAAGTTCCAACCTCTTAATTTAGCACTGGCCAGTCCCTATTTTAAACCTGTTAATTTAGCAGTGGATTTAAGCTCAGACCTCTTAATTTCCCAGTGAACAGTTCTAAGCTCAAACCTCTTAATTTCCCAGTGGACAGTTCCAAGCTCAAATGTCTTAATTTCCCAGTGAACAGTTCTAAGCTCAAACCTCTTAATTTCCAGGTGAATAGTTCCAAGCTCAAACCTCTTAATTTCCCAGTTGACAATTCCAAGCTCAAACCTATTAATTTCCCAGTGAACAGTTCTAAGCTTGAACTTCTTAATTTCCCAGTGAACATTTCTAAGCTCAAACCTTTTAATTTCCTAGTGAACAGTTCTAAGCTTGAACTTCTTAATTTCCAAGTGGACAGTTCCAAGCTCAAACCTCTTAATTTCCTAGTGAACAGTTCTAAGCTTGAACTTCTTAATTTCCCAGTGGACAGTTCCAAGCTCAAACCTCTTAATTTCCCAGTGAACAGTTCCAAGCTCAAACCTCTTAATTTCCCAGTTGACAGTTCCAAGCTCAAACCTCTTAATTTCCCAGTTGACAGTTCCAAGCTCAAACCTCTTAATTTCCCAGTGGACAGTTCCAAGCTCAAATGTCTTAATTTCCCAGCCAGTTGACAGTTCCAAGCTCAAACCTCTTAATTTCCCAGTGGACAGTTTCCAATCTCAAACCTCTTAATTTCCCAGTGAACAGTTCTAAGTTCAAACCTTTAATTTCCCAGAACTTCTTAATTTCCCAGTGAACAGTTCTAAGCTTGAACTTCTTAATTTCCAAGTGGACAGTTCCCAGCTCAGACCTCTTAATTTCCTAGTGAACAGTTCTAAGCTTGAACTTCTTAATTTCCCAGTGAACAGTTCTAAGCTTGAACTTCTTAATTTCCAAGTGGACAGTTCCCAGCTCAAACCTCTTAATTTCCTAGTGGACAATTCCAGGCTCAAACCTCTTAATTTGACAGTGGACAGTTCCAAGCTCAAACCTCTTAATTTCCTAGTGAACAGTTCTAAGCTTGAACTTCTTAATTTCCAAGTGGACAGTTCCAAGCTCAAACCTCTTAATTTCCTAGTGAACAGTTCTAAGCTTGAACTTCTTAATTTCCTAGTGAACAGTTCTAAGCTCAAACCTCTTAATTTCCAAGTGGACAATTCCAAGCTCAAACCTCTTAATTTCCTAGTGAACAGTTCTAAGCTCAAACTTCTTAATTTCCCAGTGAACAGTTCTAAGCTCAAACCTCTTAATTTCCCAGTGGACAGTTCCAAGCTCAAACCTCTTAATTTCCTAGTGAACAGTTCTAAGCTTGAACTTCTTAATTTCCCAGTGAACATTTCTAAGCTCAAACCTTTTAATTTCCTAGTGAACAGTTCTAAGCTTGAACTTCTTAATTTCCAAGTGGACAGTTCCAAGCTCAAACCTCTTTATTTCCTAGTGGACAATTCCAAGCTCAAACCTCTTAATTTCCCTGTTGACCGTTCCAAGGTCAAGCATCTTAATTTAACAGTGGACAGATCTATATTTTAACCTCTTAATTTCCCAGTGGACAGTTTCAAGCTTAAACCTCTTAATTTCCCAGTTGACAGTTCCATGTTCAAACCTCTTGATTTCCCAGTGGACAGTTCCAATTAAGCTCAAACCTCTTAATTTCTTAGTGAACAGTTCTAAGCTCGAACTTTTTAATTTCCCAGTGAACAGTTCTAAGCTCAAACCTCTTAATTTCTTAGTGGACAATTTCAAGCTCAAACCTCTTAGTTTAACAGAAGACAGTAACAAGTTCAAACCATTTAAATTATCAGGGTCAGACCCAAGTTCAGATCTCTTAACAGTAGACAGTTCCAAGTTCAAACCATTTTAGTAAAATGTCCAAAGTTAAGGAAAATGTAGTATATTCTGTTGTAAAATGAAACTCATGACTTCATGCAATTTTATTTTATAAAAGGGGTTGTGATTTTTTTTCCAAGAAACATTCTAGGTATGGGTTTCCATCTAGAATGAATGAGCTACATTTTATCCAAGGTAAAATAATAAAATATTAAAAAAAGGGTAAAGAAGCAAATATAACCCAGACTAAAACTAGTATTTGGTTTTCTACCCCATGAAGATCACAAAAAGGCATGTGGCAGGGGGACTGTTAATGTATACACTTGGAAAAAGCTTGTACTCATTAGAATAATTAAATTTTCGTGAAATAAGCACAAACTTGGAAGTGTGCAGCTTTAAAGGGACTCCACTAAGTATTTTTGACATAAAGGCACTGGAAATATTTTTTTTAGAGATTTATGTTCCATTTGATATAGTTCTGCACAAATACCAAAACTTGTGTGCAGAATTTCAGAACTGGAGCATCTGGTTATTAACATGTATGATATTTGACCAAATCTTGAATATATTTTTTGGATGGCCTTTTTTATGCATAAGTAAATTAATAACTCTACAAATTGAGATTTTCCTACATAACAGTATTCTATAATTATCAATTAACAAACATTTTATTGATTACAAGGCAGAAAAAACAAACTTTAAACAATTTACCTTACCTATACAAAGCGTGCATGTATTTAAGTAAAAGAGAACTAATCCAGTTTTCCATAAGGAGTTTGATAGGATGAGTAATTTCCCTTGGAAGGTGCATAACTCTGTATTGCTTATGAAAAATTGTTTAGTACTATTTACTTCCCTTTGTACATGTTTTTTACAATCCAGGGTTTTGTTTTCTTTTTAATTTCAGTGAAAAATGCACTAGGTGACCATATGACATTAACTGAGCAGTGCACTGTGGGAAGCCCACTTGGAACTATGGAAGAAGGTACAAGACCGGATGGGAAGCGAACAGTTTCCCCGGGGCTCGACCCAGAGGAACCTGGGGTAAGTTAGGTCAACAGTGTACAAGAAGTACTCAATAGAAAAGCAAAAATGTCCTGCTTTTATGATATGCACAATACTTTTTAGCTCCAATTTTGGAATACAAAAGGTGGAGGTATTGCCATGACCTACTTGTCGGATTTGGATTCCTCGTTTGCTAACTTTTTTGGTTAAGTTTTATTTATGCTCTTTTATCATACAAAAGGTGTAAGAGAAACTATAATCATGAAAATATTACTGTTAGATTTATATAGGTGAGGTAAAGGCGTTTGCCTCTCATTCAAGCAAACATAGGTTCCATGCCGACTGAGGTCAACACTGATCTACAATATAATGCTTGTACTTGCGTAAGTTCTGGAAATGTACTGAAATATTGAGAGCTCTTAGTAATCAAGCTTAAATGAACCCATTTTAACAATTAGCTCTAAAACAGCAAAAACTTATAATTGCTCTTTTGAATTTGAAAGGAGTTTATCTTATCTATCTTCCAATTAGTGAAATGCCTACTGGGGGCCTAGACTTTTATACTTTATTCCTTTTTTATAAAAAAAATTGGAGTTTTATAACCAGAATGCACTAATGCAACTAGATGGAATAAGTCTGGTGCTAGATGGTTATGTTATATAAGAAAATATGTTCAAGCATTAAAACACTTAAAATATTTTTCCACCATGCCTTTCATAGACCAGTACTTTGTCAGACAGCAGAATGCCTTTCATAGACCAGTACTTTGTCAGAAAGTACCATACCTTTCATAGACCAGTACTTTGTCAGACAGCAGAATGACGTTCATAGACCAGTATTTTGTCAGACAGCAGAATGACGTTCATAGACCAGTACTTTGTCAGACAGCAGAATGACGTTCATAGACCAGTACTTTGTCAGACAGCAGAATGACGTTCATAGACCAGTGCTTTGTCAGACAGCAGAATGACGTTCATAGACCAGTACTTTGTCAGACAGCAGAATGACGTTCATAGACCAGTATTTTGTCAGACAGCAGAATGACGTTCATAGACCAGTGCTTTGTCAGACAGCAGAATGACGTTCATAGACCAGTACTTTGTCAGACAGCAGAATGACGTTCATAGACCAGTACTTTGTCAGACAGCAGAATGACTTTCATAGACCAGTATTTTGTCAGACAGCAGAATGACATTCATAGACCAGTACTTTGTCAGACAGCAGAATGACGTTCATAGACCAGTGCTTTGTCAGACAGCAGAATGACGTTCATAGACCAGTGCTTTGTCAGGCAGCAGAATGACGTTCATAGACCAGTGCTTTGTCAGACAGCAGAATGACGTTCATAGACCAGTACTTTGTCAGACAGCAGAATGACGTTCATAGACCAGTGCTTTGTCAGACAGCAGAATGACGTTCATAGACCAGTACTTTGTCAGACAGCAGAATGACGTTCATAGACCAGTACTTTGTCAGACAGCAGAATGACGTTCATAGACCAGTATTTTGTCAGACAGCAGAATGACGTTCATAGACCAGTACTTTGTCAGACAGCAGAATGACATTCATAGACTAGTACTTTGTCAGACAGCAGAATGATGTTCATAGACCAGTGCTTTGTCAGACAGCAGAATGACGTTCATAGACCAGTGCTTTGTCAGACAGCAGAATGACGTTCATAGACCAGTACTTTGTCAGACAGAAGTATGCCTTATATAGACCAGTATTTTGTTAGACAGCAGAATGACTTTCATAGACCAGTGCTTTGTGAGAAAGTAGCATGCCTTTCATTGTAAGAAAGTAACATGCCTTCCATAGACCAGTACTTTGTTGGACTGTAATATGCTTTCCATAGTTGGACAGCATTATGCCTTTCATAGACCAGTATTTTGTTAGACAACAGAATGCCTTTCATAGATCATTCTTTGTAAGACAATTGTATGGTTTTTTTTCCTAGACCAGTACCTTGTCTTACAGTAGCATGCCTTTCACAGACCAATACTATGACGGACAGTAGCTGATAATGGTAGGGTAACTGTCCACATTGTGAACCTACAAGTGTTTTATAGCCAACAGATGTTGCTCAAAATTTCCCATAAATCTTGTAACAGAAACGCTCCAGTGGTTCCTGACCTGCTTACAGACTTTAGGTACTTCTCAAAAATGACAGAATATCAAAATTTTAATTTCTAGATTTGGACTGGTTCTACGTTATGACTGGCAGAAACTGTCACGTAAATTACCGGGAAACTGTTGCAGCCAATTGAAGGCATGTCTTATGTTTCACATTCAAGTGGCATAAATTGCTTTTTTACAATGTCAAAATGGAGTTTTAGATACATTTTCAAATCGGAATTGCTTCAATTAAGTGTCTTAATATTTGAAATTGAATACACGTTTTTTGAATTTATCTAAACAGTAAAGTAGGGTAATAAATTTTGATTTCTTTTGAAGTTTCGAGGTGGGTAATTTGAGCTGTAAATCCTCGAGGTTTTATCTTCATAATTTTGCATGATTTCTTAAAAAGTGGTACTTTAAACAGCAAGCATCATAATATTGTGAAAGTAACAGATAAGCGAAGTTCCTTAAGTCCTGAAAAAAATCGTAAATAACAGCATTTTGGATAAGGAAGGCAGGTGCTAGCACAACTTTGAACCAGAAATTGAAATTCCTGGAAATAAAATGCTGATACTATGTTAATATTTGAATTCCTGGAATAGATGAAAAGTTAAAATGTAGATGTTGCTAACAGAACAGTTTTCTTTATTGACTTTTTAGTTAGCTTGATAAGCTTAGTTGTTGATTCCGTCCTTGCCTTGTCTTTTGGTGATATCTCCCTCCTTTTCCTGTTTTGTAACCCTGTTACTGTGTCTGCCTATTGGTAACCCGGTTCCTGTAGGATGCCAGTTGGTCACCCATTACTATGCCAGCCTGGCTACCCAGTTACTGTGCCCACCTTAGACAAAACTGGTAACCCAGTTACTGTGCCAAAATAAGACAAAACTGGTTACCCAGTTACTGTGCTGGTAACCCAGTTACTGTGCCCACCTAAGGCAAAAACTGGTAACCCAGTTACTGTGCCCACCTAAGACAAAAACTGGTAACCCAGTTACTGTGCCCACCTAACGCAAAAAAATGCCCATGTTTATCGTGTCAAAGGTTGCACTCATTCCCTGTTGACTTGCCATCATTTGCAAAGAAGTAGTTCATACTTTAAACAGATTTGTTGACCAATGGTTAATTTACCTGCCAACAAATACATGACAGAAACATTGTTTCTAACAAAACTTACAAACCTTTAGTAATATTTGTTTGTTGAACCTTTTCGCTTCTAAATTTCTTCAAATGGATTTTGAATTTGGAATTTTCCATGGTAGATTTAAAGGATTTTATTAACAAAACTATGCAGTTAGCAGTCTATAATTTGGTCTGATTGTAAGGATATACAGGGCTACCTGGCTCTGTACTGGTGGCATAAAATAGAGAAAAAACAGTATCCTTAAAAAAAGCCCAACACAGCAAAATTGAAAATGTTGCTGGCTCGGTTTGATTGAGCCTGTTCATGGATGGTAGTGGTAATTGCAAACCTATCTTTATCATTGTTAGCATAAAAAAGGTTCATGTATTTGAGACTTCATTAAAACTGCTTACACAGCAAAATTTCTGAAGTAGACAAGATATGGTCCTCTCAGTGGATCCAATTAGGTACTTTAATAACTAATTTAAGCCCCTAATTTTTATATTGCACAATGTCTTTAGGTGTGTTCACACTCATTCATGATTGAAGATTTTGGATTGAAGTTTTATTTATCAGCAGACGTGCTGCTAAACTAACCAGTATATTGCTTTTGATAAAAACTATGTTCACAGTCCCAACACATGGCTTTTTATGTTCACTTTCTACAAGTATTGCATAGTTCAGACGGAATTTTAACTTAAAAATAAATTTAAAAAAAAAATGTAAGAATTCAGACATGTGCAGGAGGAAAGTATAATGTCCCATATTTGCATGCAAATTCTTTTCAGGAAATTTTCATGTATTTGTATTTACAAATATTATATTAGAATTTTTGGTAATTGTATTCTTTGAAAAGAATTTGCATGTAAATATTGGGCATTTTAAAGTGATTGAAAGATTGTTTTATCACATATATACCCGTGCCACTTTTACGTAAAAACTGTATTGCACGGCCGTGCATATGTTTTGAGAGACATCATTTGCGTTAGACAAATATTGCATAAGGATGCACTATGTGTTAGTGCTACGTAATTCTTTTTTTTTACCATAAACAGTTCTTATTTTAGATATTTGATAAATAGAATATTACATTTGTGTAGGATTAATACTTAATGTATTTAATAAAATAGAATTATGCTCAGTCCAGACGATCACATAATATAATTTTATTTATATTATTATTATTATTTTTATATTCGTATATTTTTTAAATTTTTAAAATAAAATGATATATATTTTTTAGCATACTATTTATAATATATATATTATAAATTTGATGTCACATATTCACATCTATAACTAACTTAACATAAAAGTTACGACTGGTTATCATACAGTATTTTTTTCATCTTTCTACAACACCATATTTTCTTATTTTCATTGTACAGGCCTCCATTAAGGGGAGGTCCTGTTAAAGTAATTAAGCTGATAGGGAGGCAATTAGAAAAAATTACCACAGAGGTGTTTATTGTTTCTGAAGGTGTTCTCATAGTAATCAGGTGCAACAATTACAAATATTTCTACAAATGATGCCTACACCATATCTGTTGTGAAATACTGACATTTTTTTGCTATCTTTTTTGTGAAAATGGTTTTTTTGTGGGACAGGGGCTAGGAAGAATTGAAAGTGGCCGTTGAGGTTTGTGGTTAAAGCAGCGACTCCAGTCCAGATTCATGCTAATTTTCATGAAAATTTTGAAATTGTATTTTACTGTAAAATATTGTGAATTGAATAAAGAAAGTGCTTAACACGTTGCAATCGATGCTTACAATCCACGTAAATTATCAAAAAAGTGCAAAA